AAAACATATAGCAAAAGCTACCCAAGAGTTTCTCAAGGCAAAGAAGTGGGATGTTCTTCAACGGCCAAGTCAGTCACCTGATCTTATTGCTGAAGCTTAAGCACTACTACTGCTCTGTGTTTCATTACTGAAAATTTGCATTTGGAAGTTGTTACCCTGCCATCTTATATATTTCATATAAGTTTCTAAAATTGCTTTTATAACTATTCATGGTGTTTTGTAATGCATTTGACTGTGTCTTAAGATACTTTGTGGAGACTATTACTGTAGAAATGTGGAACTAATAAACAAATATTTCTATGGTCTAATTTACCTATAGTATTTTTTTATAGAATAAGCATGAAAATGAATATTTTACTGTGTTTTTGATCAACATACCTTTTTAAAATTTGTTTTATTATATCATTATAAGACATAAGTAATATATTATTTCCATACAGTGGTATTTATATAGTGTTGATTAGAGGTTATTTACACTCTAATGTTTAGATAGTTTTTTATATTTAATGGTGTAAGTTATTATGTCAGTATTAACTGTGATTTAAAATGTTGATCTTAATAAGCATAAGATTATTTAGCTTTTACATCTTTTACATCCAAAGCTGAATATAACATTAAGAAACAGCTGCAAATTATATCAAAATATTTGTTGCATAATAAAGGTTTCTGTCTCAAGCTGATTACTTAATGCTAAGATCTCCACTGTATTATACTTATTATTGTTTGTACACATTGAGGAAAAAGAAAAGAAAATAGACAAAGCAAAAGAGGGAACAACAACCAAAACGAAAAAAAGGGAAAGGGTTTATCCTTTGGTAAATAACCTGAACATTTTGGAAAGCCAGAATCTAAATTGGGTGAATAAATAAGAAAACTCAGAGGACCTTATTTCCAAGCAAATTTGCATGAGATTACATGTAAGGGGATATCCCTTTAGGAGCTGGATTTTAGAATGCCCTGTGTGTTTGTATTCTAGAGTGATGGCCTTCCTGCTCTGGTGACATTAAAGAAAGGTCTCATTGCATTAGCCAGGCAGTGGATGAAGTTCATTGTGGTGACCCCAGCCTTCAAAGGGGTGAGTTTACACAGGCCAGCTCAGCCAATGAAACTCCAGTCAACTGTACACCAGGAACAAGAGGATGGCTTTGGCTTAGACAATGTGGGAGGACTTCAAAGTGACACAAGTGCTGATGGAGCAGAGTTTGAGTTTGATGCAGGTATTGTATTTCATTTACACCCACCGTTTTATTTCTGTGTGTACATGTGTGTGTGTATTCTTAAGATTAATTTATTTCGCATTCCATCCAGATATGGCATTCTTTTCTCTTTAACACATACTTGCAGAAGAATATGATTTTAAGGGTAATTTTATCTTGTTCTGTAAAGAGTTAATCATCAGTGCATGCAATAGATAT